GCTTTTTTTGGGTTTGGGGCTTTTGGGGTTTAGGGCTTTAGGGTTTTTGGGCTTTTTTGTGTTTGGGGCTTTTAGGGTTTTAGGGCTGTTTTTTGGGTTTGGGGCTTTTAGGGTTTAGGGCTTCAGGGTTTTAGGGGTTTTTTGGGTTTGGGTTTTTTTGGGATTTTTGGTTTAGGGTTCTAGGGTTTAGTTAGGAATTCCTGAAGGGTTTTGTTGGCGGCGTTTTTGGGCTTTATAGGCCTCGAGCTTGGGGGCTCAGGCTTTAGGGTTTAGGGTTTAGGGGTTTAGGGGTTTAGGGTTTAGGGTTTAGGGGTTCGGGCCTTCAAGGGGTTTAGGGCTTAGATTTTGGGAGTTTCGGGTTCAGGGCTTCGGGTACTGCCCAGGTGCCATGTATCTCAGCTGACCGGGCGTAGAGACGTCCAGACCGACGATGCAGAATTGGTAGCTGCCGTTCCTTTCGCACTTCGAGCTTCGCTTGGGGCCTAGGGCCGTTTAGCCCTGAACCCTTGAACTTTAAAAAACCCGAACCGCAACAGTAGTCAAGGTTTGGGCCACGCACTCTCTTGCACCTCCAACCCACGAAACCCATGGAACTCCCAACCCCCGAAGACGAAATCAACACCCTTCTGCAAGCTCTCCCGACACACAGAACCCGATCAAAACTCTCCTTCCCCCACGATACAGACAGTGGTATTCGATACAGCGGTCTATATATGTGGTATTCGTAGGGTTTTTGGATAGGATGGATGATAAAACACTCGGTGAACCCCCCTTGTTACGCCCCCAAGGCCTTGGAGCAACAGAACCGTTTTGGGCTTTCGGACTTCGGATTCCGAAACCTTGGAGTTCTGGAATAGGGGTTTTAGGGTGTTAGGGTTTTAGGGCTTCAGGGTTTTAGGGCTTTAAGGCTTTAGGGTTTTAGGGTTTTAGGGGCTTTGGGTTCTGGAAAGGCGTAGTGTTTCGGGTGTTTAGGGTCAACCCCCGCACACCCAAGATCCTCCCAAAGAATAGAAAGCACGGAGTTGAAAAGGGTTTAGGGTTTAGGGTTTAGGGTTTAGGGTTTAGGGTTTAGGGTTTAGGGTTTAGGGTTTAGGGAAAACCCTAGAAGAGCGGAAACCCTCCGAAAAACCCTGCGTGCACGATGAACAACTCTATAAGCTTAGCAACCCTCAACCCCGACGAAACACGCAAAGTTCAGACCCCTGTATCACCTTGAATGAACGCCCCTTCTAGGAATCCCTGAATCCCTTAATTGTACCCGGTAAACAGGACCCTATTATAGAACCTTCTAGGACCCCATTTTTAAGGAGACCCCCTTCTCGGACCCCTTAAAGGACCCGTTTGGGTCCTTGTCGGCTCCGATGGGCAGGTCATGAAGCGCTCGAAGAGCGTGCCCCGAGGTATCACGCCTGGGTCCCAGCTGCCCCGCCGGCTTCAGGGTTAAGGGTTTAGGGTTTATTTAAAGTTGAGGGTTTAGGGGGGTTCAGGGTTTATTTAAAGTTGAGGGTGTAGGGTTAGGGCTTAGGGCCTAAAAACCCTATACCTGGATGTAGAATTTCTGGAGGGTTTGTTCAGAATTCTTGTAGGGTTACTGTAAGGCTTAATGCTTGGAATTGCCAGAGTACTCTAGCGATACTATTGGGTTTATATAGAGTTACTACTCAACTACAGCTGTCAAAGTTTAGGGTCGGGGCACTTGTGAGATTCGGGGACCTCAGCTTCCAGACTGTGCCTTTTAGGAACCTGATTCAGAAACCTTGGGTGCATATAGTATGAACCCAAATATTCTGGGAGGTTCTAGGACCAGAGTTTCTTAGTCAGATTCCCAGATTCGAACCCTTCAATCAAAGCCCTCGAAAGCCCTAAACCCTAAACCCTAAACCCTAAACCCTAAACCGACTCGAAAGACGACGAATACCATACTGCCGAGGTGCCCCGCACGCCCACGCCGGCAGCCGCAACGAGGTCGGAAGGCCAGCCGGTCTCCTTGTG